GGCGGCGGCGGCGGCGGCAGGTACGGTGAGCCCAGCCGGTACCTCCGGAGTTAACTCCTCCCCTGCCGGCCCGCAGCCCGGGGACCTGGGCGCTGGCTCCCCCGCGAAGAGGGCGGAGTGACTCTGCGGTGGGGGCAGGGGTCGCCAGGGGACGGGGCCCTGCTGTGTCCAGCGCTCTCGCAGGGCGCCTGTTTTCCGGGGCTGACTTCCCCCAACCCAGGAGTCCTGGAATTTGGAGGGATAATTCTTTTCCAACCCCATTCCAGGAGCCACAGGACATGTTCCTTACTGCAGCTGACGACAGCTGCGACCTGCTCCTGTGTTGGGGGAAGTGCTTCCAAGTGTCTAGCCTGCACCCTTCTGCGAGGATTCCCTGACCTTAGTGCAGTCACTGAGCACTGCGCCGGGGTCCTAGGCGGCTGGAAAGGCCAGCCGCTGCCAGGCTAGGCTCGGGGCCGGGGCCGGGGGCGAGCCGAGAAGCTGGGAAGACGGGTGGGCAAGGCCTCCCCGGACGCTGTGCCTCCTTTCTGCCCGACTCCCCCTCCCTGTGGCGCAGAGGGTCACCAGGCTAAGAGCCGCCCCCTCCCCAGTGGGGTCCCGGGTTGCCTGTGGTCTTTGCAGCCCCCCGGGACGAGAAAGGAAAACAAGACCCGGTTCCCAGAGGTGGGCCCGGGCCCTCTGGCCCTCCAGGCCTCCTGCCTGGCGTTCTAGGCCTTTGCAGTCTTTAAAAGAGAAAAGGTCAAGCCCTAGCCCCCCTCGGAGGCTGTGGGGGTGAGAGGCACCAGGCATTTGGAGTTGCCCCTGCCCGGGGGGCACGGTGGGCAGTGCCCCGTGGCCCTCCGAGGTCCACTCGGTGCCTGGCCGCAGCCCCCAGCTCGCACCCGGCCTCCTCCCCCACCATCTGCCAGGCGGCCGCGTGGGGAATGCAGATGAGCCTCAGTATCAGCCTGGGCCAAGTGCGAGGAGGGAGGCAGGCTGCGGCGCCCAGCAGCGTCCCGGAGGCCCTGTCCACCGGCCCCGCAGGCCCCGAGGTCACAGCAGCTCTCCCCGTGCACGGTGGTGAGGGGCTGAGCGCCTCTCGCCAAAGACCCCCAAAGCCAGGCGAGGAAGGACCAGGTAATAAACATCCGGCCCCGGAGCCTCCAGTCCTGCTGGGAGGAAGGTGCTGCCGCCTGAGTGGGCAGCTGGTTCCGCGCTCACTAGGCAGAGGCGCCGCGGCCCACTCCTGTCCCTTCCACAAGGTCCTGTCGCCCGCAGCGCAGCGTGGCCCAGCAGAGCACAGCTCTCGGCCCTGGCCCTGCTGTGTGACCTTGGGTAGGTTACTCCAGTTCTCTGATGCCAGTTTCCTGATGTGTTGCTGCAAGAACTAGATGAGACGAAATGTGCGAACTGAGGGCAGCTGCGGTGGCCGGCGGGCAGCCGTGGGAGGACTGCCACGGAGCTCCTGCTTGGCACTTCCCACACGCTGGCTCCAGCTGCCCCTCCTGCCAGGCTCGCCCTCGCTCCCTCTTGGTCATCCTGGCTCTCCCTTCCTTAAAGCTTCAGCTCTGCCTCCATCCATCAACCACTGGCTGAGCCTGTCCTCAGCGCCAGGTGCTGGGCCAGGGCCTGGGAACAGAGACGAGAAGGGTACCGTCCCTGCCCTCTAGGGTCTCACGGCTGGTGCGCGCACACGTGAAAATCGATGGTTACGGCGGCCGAGGCGGGGATGCGCAGACCCTCAGTCCGGGCACTGCGGACACAGGGGCGGGGGCTGGGAAGGGCAGGGCTGACTTTCTGGGGGAGCTGATGTGCAGAGGCAAGGGCTACTCTGCAGGGCACTGCACGGGCGCAGGTGTGGTGGCAGGAAGTGGGCAGTGCTTGCTGTTCCTGGAGCCCAGGGGAGGAGGGAGGCAGGGTACCACAGCGGAAGGGCTGGCACCTGTGTCAGGGCTAGGGCCTGGACCCTTGTCTGTGAGAACCTCTGAAAGGTGTTTTTGTTTGTGGGGAGGGGGTTGAGACAGGGTCTTGCTATGTAGCCCAGGCTGGCCTCGAACTCACAGCGATCCTCCTGCCCCAGCCTCCCGAGTGCTGGGATGACAGGTGTGTGGCACCCTGGTGATTATAGTCAGATTTGCCTTTAGCAGCCTTCTGGAGCCGGGCGTGGTGGCTCATGGCTATAACCCCAGCACTTGGGAGCTGAGGCAGGAGGGTCCCTGTTAGTGCAAGGCCAACCTGCACTGCACAGCAGGACCCCGTTTCAACAGGAATAACAAGAGGCTTTTAGAAAATTCACCAGGCAGAGGCGAGTCCAGAGGAAGCCAGAGGGGAAGGAACCGGCGGGGACACAGTAGTGGGGAGACCACCTAGGGTGTGGGGGACGCTGTCAGAACAGGGCTGTTGCTGATGGAGGCAGGGTGAGGGGGGGCCTGGCATGGGCAGCAGGCCGCATGGTCCACTGGGGCCTGCGCAGAGGGAGGCAGGGCAGCTCCAAGTCTGGCCACTGTTTCTCTGTGAGGAGGGACCGGGTGGACGCCCTGGGCACGGTGGCTCCTGGGCACGGGCAGAGGCAGGGAACGCAAAAGATCCAGAGAGCACAGGGCTGCGGGGGGACGTGGCCCCTGGACCACACTGAGAAGCTCGGGCCTGGGTAGTGTCAGGAAGGAGGGACTTGGCCGCACAGCAGGGACTGAGCCGGCATAGGAAGGACAGAAAAGTGACCCCTGGGCTTGGTTCAGAGCCAGTCGTGAGGGGCTGGGGGTTTAGCTCAGTGCCACGCCTGCCTGGCAAGCGCAAGGTCGTGAGTTCGATTCCTGGTACCAGAAAAAACCAGACCCAATCGTGGTCCCTCCGGCTGCTCCCAGGGCGGAAGACTGACCGCAGAGTCTGCCCTGCACCGGTCGGCAGCTGCACTGCGGAGGTGACGTCGGGTGCATCAGTGTGGACGTCATTGCAAATCGTCCCTGCACGGCAGTTTGCAGCTTTAAAGCATCAGGGTGGAGCTTTCTGTGTGGGGGGGGATCCCCTACAGGGAAGCCCAGTGCAAAGGAGGGGCCGAGCAGCAAGCTGTGCGCGCGGACTGTGGGGCACCCAGGTGGGAGGGGAGGCTTCCAGACCAGGCCCCCGATGAAAGAAGCTGGAGAGGGTTCTGAGGAGGACGGGATGAAAGGCTCATTTGTTCCCCAAATGGTGATCAGGCGCCCGCTTTTATGTCCATCCCTGGGCTGGGTGTGGGGTGCGCTGAACGGGGATCCTGATTGGCATGGAGATCACCTTGCCTTGGCATCGCAGGGGCGGCAGAGATGAACCAACCAAGCACAGGAAGTCGGAGGTGTGTGCGCTGCCGCATGGGTCGCAGCAAGGACGGGAGGGAACCCCGAGGGAGAGGGAGAGGGGCCCGAGTCTGGGGCAAGAGGAGGCCTGGGGTGCTGGGCGCGGGGCAAGGGCGCTGGGACGGGCAGGTGCGGAGCCCTGAGCCCAGGAAGCCTTGGTGCCCTGGAGGCTCAGTGCGGGGACACTGGGAGGACACCAGGCCCCCGGAGGGGGGTGCGGGGTGGGCTCGCTGCACGCGGCTTTGTGGGCCCACTTACTGGTTTGCGGTTTTATTCTGTGATTAAGGTGTTTGTTTTTGTTTTGATTACAAGTCTTTTTGAGACAGGGTCTGCCTATGTAGTCCAGGCTGGCCTTGAACTCCCTATCTAGCCCAGGCTGGCCTCGAACTCATGGTGATCCTCCTGTCTCAGCCTCACAAGCGCTGGGACTGCCAGTGTGCGCCACCACGTCCGGCTTGATTACGAGTTTTAAACAGGGTCAGGTGTGACTCAGAGAGAGATGAGCAGGAAGGTGAGCCGGCAGCAGTGGGAAGTAGCTCTGGAAGAGTGGGTCGGACGGGCTGGGGGTGACACATTCGGGGCGAGGGCAAGTGGGTGTATCCGTCAGGGGCCGAGTGGGATCCAGCAGCCTGGGGCTAAGGGTCTGTCTCCGAGGTCCTCTTGGGGTGGTCTGCACTCTCTTGGACCTGTTTGCGGCCTCTGCGAAGGGGGCCTCTCGTGGCCTCAGGACACGATCGCGGACGCGGACGCGGAGGCGGAGAGCCGCCCGCCCTGTCCGGAGCAGGAGGTGTTTTGCGAAGAGCCCTGTTCTGCACCGAAGAGGCCGCGCAGCCCCTTCCCGCCGCACCGGGGAGGTGAGGGGCAGAGGGAGAACACAGGGCCCGAGCGAAGCCACCAGACTGCAGGGCACCTGGCGAGGAGCCAACACCTGGCACCAGGTCAGTGGCTGCCTGCCGGGCCACCTGTCAGCTGGCCCCGGGTCGTCGCTGCGGTCCGGGAAGGGCCGCCAGGGGCGATGGAGAGGCGACGCGGGCGTGGTGGGTGCAGGCGCGTGGGCTCCGCGCGCCCCCTGGTGGGCCCTCGGGGAAAGAGCGTGCGCTCGCGCCGCCTGCCGGGGCCACCAGGCGCTTCATAAAGAAAGAAACACGAAAGCTGTGTGCGACCCTAGGTCTTGTTGGACACCTGGGCTCTGGAGCGGGATCATTTGGTCCCTGTCCTGGACTTGCCTCTGTATCTTGAGCAAATGACCTCATCCCTCTGCCTCTGTGAGTTCATGAAGGGTCATAATAGTATCTGC